GGCCTGTTGCCTGAAGGCCTCATTTCTTCCAGCCCGTGAAGCTTTGGGTCCATCCATGCCAGTCTGCCCTCTTGCTGTGGGCAAGCACATTGACAGATCCCAAGTCCCATCTTTGCTTGCTGCTTCATTGAGCTCTTTGAGTTTCCCCTCACAAATTCTTTCCCCTGAACGTCTCCACAGCTTTCCTCTGATCCTCCATGCACAGTGAGTTTCTGAGAGGTAAATCATTCTTGTGGCATGGTGTTGAGTAGGAAAGACAAGGAGATACAGGTTTCCTGTACCTCCTGGGAGGCATGAGCTTATCCCAGCAGGAGTCTACTTCAGGCTATACTTTGCAGAGAGTCTTGTGCCTGCTGCCTGCAAGGCTGGACAGAGCTACAGCACTGCTGACTCTACCCTGCTCCCTGCCCATGCACTGCACATGGGTGCTGGCCTGGTCTGCTGGCCCCAGCAGACAGTGAGGGAGCAGGAGAGGAATTTGGGACTGCATTGTCAGAGGCACATGCCACAGCAGTGGCCTGGGGCTGCCAGTCTCATCTATACTGAAGGATGGAAACAGATCAGCACCTGAGCTGTGCCCTTTAGATTTTTTTCTCTTCTCTCAGAGCAGTGATGAGGAGTGTCCTCCCAGTAAGGATGCACAACTGCACCTCATTGAGTGACTGGCCATGAAAGCCCACATGCATGCAGTTCTCCTTTGGGAAGGGAATGGATACTCCACCCTTCTCTCAGCTAACTGACAGAGGGGGGAGATGCTACGGAAGGCCTTTCAGCTTTCAGTTGGAGGTTGCACATCCTCCTTATCCTGTGGTGTTTGTCCCTCAGTTTCAGTGTACAGAAAGGCTGTGAGACTGTGTCCAGCTGTGGTCGCTGCCTACTGACACCAAGTGGCACACCTGAACTTCCAGCCACCCTGCAGGGACCATTAGGCCCACCCCAGAGACCGCTGTGGCCCAAATCCTGACCTTTCTCAGTGTTCCTTGGGACTGATTCTACCTCCCCTCCATTAACGCTAAGCGTTGGATTGCCTTTTCCTTCTGGGTCTCCTCTTCTCTCCAATTCTCCCCTTCCAGCCTCCTCTGCTTGGTTCCCAAGCTCTTCAGGCTGTTATTTCACAAGCCTTTGGCTGAGATCATTGTCCATCCAGCTGCCCTAATCTGTCTTTGTAGACTTCTGGTTTTGCCTATGCAGACCCGCATGGGGATGGGAACCTTGTTCTGCCTTTCTTCCAGTTTCTGCCTCAGGTGAAGCTGACTGCACATGTCCTCCTCATTGCCCATCGGATCCCAGTCATCCTTGTATTGCTTCTGCTCTTTTATTGCTCTCTTCCGTTGCCTGAGTGTTTCTCAACTCTGGCACTAGCACAGGAGCGCCGGTTCACAGCCTTCTCTGTAAAGCTGCACAACGAGATGAGGGGCTTTCGGAGCCAGTAGGCAGATCAAACGGCAGGGGCAGGATGTCGAGGACAGATAAAAAGGTCTAAATATAGAGAAGGTGCAGCTCAGGACTCTGTCCGAACCTTTAAATCCCTTTGAGGGAACACTCTAAATGAAGCTGGGAATTGTTCTCAGCCTCAGAAGGACAAGGAGCCTCAGATGAGCGATAATAATAGCTCCATCTTTGCCTGTCCCCTCCATCCATCACATCCCAGGGCAATTTGTGGAGAGTGAGTTACCCAGTCCCCAGCGTAGTGCAACTGCCTCCCAGGAGGACTACAGCAGGTGTGCAAAAGAGCAGCTCATCATGGTCACGTAAATTTAGAATAGGAAATGGGGGGAATCAAATGGGAGAAGAACAGAGGAAAAGAGAACAAAGTTTAGAGTTTGGCCAAGGCATGTTCCTGCCTTGACCAGCAGGACCTCAGGAACACACATTTCTTGTGGATCCAAGGATCAGCTCATGGTTGCTCATGGCAGCTGTCCAGGCTAGTTTTAATGGGAAAGGCTTCTAAATGGTTCACACTCAGTCCTTTCTGGAACTAAGGGCTCTTTCAGGTGAATACTAAGCAGTAGAGGAAACCAAGTCCTTAGGTACCTTTGGAAAAAGCAATTCACCACCATTAGCACAGCTCATGACAGGTGGACCTTGGCACCAGCACTGGTCCAGAGTTGTGACCCCTACAAGCATGACCAGAGAGCATGGCACAGCCAAACAGAGCCTGGGTTCAGTCAGTTCATGCCAGCCCTGTTCTGAACTCTGCCTCAGCTGTGCTCATTCAGTTCATAGCTCTTGGCTTCTGAAACCACATTTCATTTCTTCTGCTCTCCAACATGACAGTTCTTTCCACTCCTGCCTTTTCCAACAAATTTGCTGGAGGCACCTGATGTAGCATTCCTGTCTGTGGGCAAACAAACCCATCCTGAGCCCTTGGGTGTCTGCTCGTAGCAGACCAAATGCCTCTACTGTGGTGTGAGGCACAGGGGAATCTGAAATCACCTGCCTTCTGCCTTTTGCTGCCACATCCTGTCTTTTTAGGGCAGTGGCTATATCCCTTGCACTATGCCATGGAAGGGGCCCAGCTTGCACCCTAGGGACTGTCCCGCTAAGTCACCTGCATCACTCCCTTGTGAGGATAAGGGTGCAAGTTATCTATCCTCTGGGTAGCTTCCCCCACACGGGGGAGGGAGTGGTCCCTCTGTGGAATGTTGGGAGAGGGCTGTGAATGGAAAAGGGAAAGGTGCAGAAAGGAGGACTCGTTATTAACAAGCAGCATCCCTGGGTCTCTGTAATCCCTGACTAGCTTCGCAGACTCGCCCTGGTGACCCTGGACTCCTTGCAGAGCCGGATACAGAGATGATCCCTCTCTCCTGTGATGGAGATCAAAGGTCAGGGTAAAATTACCCTGATCTGCTCCTTGCTTTTTGAGGGCTCCTTCTCTATCCAGTAAAGCAGTCAGCTGCGAAGAGGTGTGCTCGGGGCACAACAGGAGTGAGAACTGTGTACAGGTAGTGAGTGCCAAGGTCCCTCAGCAGAGGTGTTACCCTCCTGCTCCAGTGTGAAAACTAGTGAGATTTACCTGCCAAAGGGAGAACAAGCAACCCCATCCCTGTGCAAAGCCCCTCACCACTGTAAAGACATCTCAGCGCCAACCCCAAGTCCCTCCCCTCAACCTTCCGTATCCTCTGATGGGATCAGCCCTTGTACAAATACTCCACAGAATCACACCAAGAAACTCAGGCTCTCAAATGCCTGATTCACCAAGGTGACCTCAGGCATCACAACAGGGCAAGGGTACTTACCGGGATCTGTAGAATGAGGTGGGTTGTAGTCCCTTCTGGATGGCACCCTCACAGCTGCCTCCCTGGTGAGAACAGCTCCTCGCTGGCCAGAAGCCCCTTGTCCCTTTGCCTTCTCCAGTCAGTCCTGTTTGTCCACTCAGTGAGTCCCTTGCTCCCTCTCTGCTCCTCAGCCTCTCCCAGGACTGATCTCCCCATGGGGAGCTGGAAGGCTGTGGACGGGAGGGGTTGGGGGAGGGCTGATTCCAGGAGCAGCGTCAGGCAAATTAAATCAGACACCAGAGACTTGGGGAAATCGGATTGGGACGTAATGCAAAGCAGGTGGATGGGGAGGGGTGAAAAGAGAGAGTAGCACACTGTTCCTGAAGGGAAAGAAACCATCACAGGCGGATTTGACTCCGTTTATATCAGCAACAAACTAATAAAGTGAAGATTAGCCAGAACAGGCTTGGATTATCAGCCACTGGGGCAGGGCTTGCTGTACCTCACAGTCCACAGGAATTCCCATTTTCCTGGGGACAGCATGCTACGCACGTCCTGGGCAGGGCGGAAAGAGGAATGATGCCACCCACAGAGGCCCTGATAAGGGAAAACCAATGCCAGGGCCATCACACCCTCTCTGGGCAGCAAATGGGGCTCTGGATGGGGAAACTAGAACTGGGCACAGGGGTCCAGGGTGGCAAAAGATTTGGTGGCATGCCTTTTGGCAGCCACTTTAGTGGGATGCTGCAAGGGGATTATCTTGGCCTCAATCTCTTTTAATCTCTCCCGCGGCTTTGGCCCAAGCCCGAGATAAATACCTTTTAACGGATCTCATCTGACGTCAGGAGGCCATCAGTCTAATCACCCAAGCCACCTTTGGGCAAAGCAAGCCAGAGATGTGGACACTGGCCCCTCACTCTCCAACATGTCCTCACCAGGAAGGAACCACTCAGCACCCCCACATAAATCATCAGGATGGACATGTGAATACTAGGATGTGATGGACCCCTTGCCAGTGAGAAGGAATTTGAAATGCATACATCAAATGGTCTTTTTCCTGTGACCCTGGGGAGGATGGGAAGCAAAAAGAGTTGCCAATGCAGGTTTCCCAAGCTTGCATGTTAAGGAAGTGTCAGGATTCAGATTGAGGAGAGACTTCCCCTTCCACAGAGCAGGGGCCCTGTGTCAACGGTGATGAGGGGATCACTCACCCACCTCTTACACCACTGACCTGGCCCTACAGATTTCTTCCACTTGAACTGTAGCTGAGGTCTCCATGCACAACTCATCAGGCCTGAGTATGTCATGACCACAGATTGATCTCTGGCTCTAATGCTTCCCAGGAAAAGGGTCACTGCTCTTTTTGATACTCCATATCCACCCCATTCAATTCCTATTTGGCTACAAAATAATCCCATCTTGGGACACTAATCTCCCAGGCAGTGACAGCAGATTGTCTTTCTATCAGGGTGGAAAATGATAAACAAAATCTCTCTTCTGCTTTCAGGGACAATTTAGTGCATGGAGAGGGAAAACACAAACAAACGAAAAAAAAAGAGAGGCTTTGCTGCAGAGAAACACGAACATATAGTGCTTTTTCTTAAAGGCACTCCTCACCCTTTCCATGCTAGTCATGGCCGAACTCACTTTCTCTCCTCTAGGCAAACACTGATTTCTTTCACCAAGCACTCAACCCCCTTCCATTATTTGTTAATTAAATTTCCATCAGCAACAAGTGTACACGTCTCCCTCGTGGTGTACAGACTCCAGCTCCCACCAATATCTGTGTCCAGCATTTTGCTTTTATTCCATATATTCACAGTTCCTCAGCTTCCCTGTCTCAGACCAGTGGTGAGGTTCTGGAATCTGCAGGTGCCTAGGAAAGTCAAAGGCTTCAGTTTTGAATTCCTAAATGTGAGACAGCCCTTCCTGAAAGACTCCAGGCTCCTCCTCCCCCTTTCAGATTTAGCCCTGGATGACCAAAAAGTTGGCACTGAGAGGAGTGGGGTGAGAAGACCTTATCTTCTTACTTCTGAGTGACACAAACTGGTGAGGCAGTGAAAAAAGTTCCAGGTGCCACTGACTTCCACACTCTGCCCTTCTCCCATTTTTCAGCTGCTGGAACACCACAGAGAAGAAAGCTGCATCCCTTCCCATCACTACAGCTCTAGCATGCTACTACACTGCTCCAGGCCTCGATGGTCCCGGTCCTACCATGACCTGCCAGGCCATGGTGTGTGCCAGTCCTGCCCTCAGGGCCCTGCGTACTCAGAACTCATCTCTGGCCCGCAGCACCTTGGGGTGCTGCTTGCTGTCTGAGCCAGACTTCTGTCTCCGATTTGCAGGCTTGGTTCCACTGTTGTGAACAGGAGGCTCTGAGGAGGATCTGCTGCTGCGATCAGTCCCCCGACGTTTTTCTCCATCAAGCTGGTCCTGCTCCACAGCCTTCTGCTCCATCAGCTCCTCTGCCTTCACCCGTTCCTGCAGCCATATAGACAGAGAAGATGTGAGCCCCTTCCTGCTGGGGTCTCGGCTCTGCTCACAGGGGCTCACAAGGCACATCATGTCTTTGCCACATCCATCCAACCACCCCAGTGGTGAGGTTCATCATTCTCTCCTGCAGGACCCATCACAGGCTGGCCCCTCCACCACACGCCTTGTCAGAGGGCAACCAACCCTCAGCTGCTGTGCTAGGCCCTGCCCCAAGGGAAAGCCCAAAAGCTATTCCTCAGCAGGATTTGATCTCACTTGGAGGTACTTGTATTTGTTTCTTCAGCATGGTCCTTCACCTGCTCCGCGTGCTCCCGGGAGTGTGTGTACCAGAGAGCAATGGCACAGCGCCTTCCACGGCTCACTGCCCACACGCCGTGGGGGTTCTCCTTGCCAGAGCTGAAGGCCACCAGCCTCCCGCACTTAGGATGCACCTCGGCCTGCCAAGAGAGAGAAAAGACCATGAAGCCATCAGTCCCCTGCTCTGAAGCACAGAGTCTTTCTACAGAGGTGGCACTGCCTCTCGGAACATGGAAGAGCAGACAGCTGCTAAGCATCCATGGCCAGTCTTGTGAGCAAGGTAGACCTTGGAGAGGGGCAGAGAGAATCAAAAGGACAACAAAGGTCACAGACACCCACAGACTGGAAGAGCCTGGAAAATCTCAGCTAGGAAAGAGTTAACCTCTACTCCGTCTGAGATTTGCCTCGATTTGCCTTTAGCTGTCCGTATTTGAATCTGCCACAGCATCGGCACTGGACTGTTTTTGGAATGGTGGGATCCAATAACCAAATAGTTTCCTCCCACCCAGACTAAGTCTCACCCTCAGTCCTCTCTCCTTCTTTTGGTCAGTCCCAGACTTACTGTGACAGTCACAGTGTCCACTTCAGTGAAGAAAAGGCCCCCACCTTGGAAGTCATCATTGAGGTAGAGAATGCCACTGTGGACAAAAAGGAAGAGTGCATATGAGCTGAGAAGCTTATTCCTCCCAGGTACTTCCCCACGCTCCTTGTCACAGGAGGCTGTGGATACCACACATTCAAAAAGTGAACAGACCAGTTACCAGGAGAATCCATTTGAGGGTGTTAAATACAGCAGTGCCTAGCTCAGGGGAGTCCCTGAGCTGCAAGGGAGGCTGGGAGAGTGTGCCAGGGAATTAGCTCTACGCACTTGTCCGTAGACAAGTTTTGTTTTGTTTTGTTTTGTTTTTTCTTAATCCTCTGCAGTGTGCAGAGGCATCTGTGGCACTGCTGTGACAATGCTCAGGGCTTGACAGACCCTGGTTCTGACCTGGCATAGCGTTGTTTATGTTTTAGGGTCGGGAATAATCCAGTGTCTGGAAGAAGAGACTGATCAGCAAAGAAAGCCATGTCTTAACAGCCAAGGAATTTCAAGGTAACATAAGAATGATCAAAAAGAGGCTTGGTGCATAGAAAAAAGAAAATTAAAACAAATTTATTTACTAAAGTTATACAAAAAGAGAAGTGGTGAGGTCACTGTGCAGCACAGGTGAGATTACAGTCAACTAGGTGAAAGAATGGACCACAAACTGTGTGAGTTCCTGTATTCAATGAAGCTGATAGAAAACTTCAGAGGAACAACAGAGGCTCTTAATTAATGGGACTGGGGTAAAGAAATAGAAATCAACACTGTGGCTGCTGAAGCAATGTTAAGGATATAAGGGCAGTGAGAGGATTACCAACCCTGAAACCCAGGAAGTTACAGCTCTTCTGCCATAGAGTTTTAATAAGGCTGAGAAGCCAGGGGGGAACATGAGTGGAGAAAAGCAAGGAGAGCTCTTACATGTACAAAGGGACAGGAAGGTAAGGATAACGGTTGAAGCCTAAACAGGCCTGTTATCCTGACCTCAATAGTCTGCAGGGCTTTAGACTCCACTTCTGAGGAGAAGGGTAATTGGAGCACAAGAGGTAAATGGAAAATGGTCTTAAAATGTAACACAAGGGTACTAAAAACAGATTGGGCTAGCCACACAGTATTTGATGAAACAGTTGATTTTCCAGGGAAAGACTACATGCTCAATCTCAGCAGTCTGGACTCTGGTAAAAGTATTCAGAATGGTGCCACTGGAGAAATTCCTAATGAAGACAGAGAAGGTGAAGAAGAGCACGTGAATAGCACACAGTGACCAGCGCACTGCTGGCACCAAAAGGAACAGTGTTCACCTGAAGGAGCATCGCTATGACTCTTGGGCCCTGGGTCCAATCCTGTTCAACAGTATCATTAATGACTATAGCACAAATACACAGGAGAGGCCCAGGAAGTTTGGAACACAGGGACTTAATTCAAAAAGATACCAGAAGAGCTCAGCCCTTGTGAGCTCACCAGCCCTTGGTTAGTCACAACTCAAACTGCAAGAGGACAGGGATACTCCTGAAAATAGCTCAGCGGCACAGATTCCAGGAAGGTATTTTACCATACATTCAAGTGGAAGTCAGAGAATTCAGGGAGGAATGAAGTGACAGGATGGCTTTCTCCCAGGAAGGACAGAGACCTAACCAGTTACATGACAAAGCCTGGTAACTTTACAATCTGATTATACCAAGTCAACACCTGTATCAGAAGGGAAACAACTCAATGATACTGGAATTCCCTTCAAGTCCCACATTCTTGCCATAGGCTGCTTAGAGATTTCTGCTCTGCATACAGCTACCACTCAAAGAAAAGACAAGTAAGATTTCTGGATGCTCAGGGATAGAATGGTGAGTAGCAGGGAATCAGCTGTAGTGAACTGACCTCATCTGGCTGCAGTGTGCAACAACTGGTATCATCATTAAAATGTATTTCACATTCTTGCACATAAGAGTAACAAAACCTGCCTAGGCCTAACAAAACCTTTCCTTCCCTAGGCTGGAAAAAACATAAACTCTCACACAGAATGGAAAAACCCAGCACAAAGTATTGGCAGTGAATCTTGAGAGAGGTGAACAGGGAATAGTCACCAAGATACACTGACTGCTCAAACAAAGGAATTCTGAGGAGCTTGATTATCCCTCTCCAGTAATGCACAGAAGACTGTAAAAGATGGAACTCGACTAGAAGAAACAGACTATCAAAAGGGTTGGCAGTGGTAGCCCCACAAGACAACAATTTGATATCATGGTTCTAGTCCGTGCAGCCTCCTACCCCCATTCTGATCTCTGTTAAAGATGGCTCTGAGAAGTAAGGAGGGAAAAAGGGCAGGTCTTCTTCCCAGCCTAGGGAAGGTGCCTCACACCTTCTTCTGAAGGCACTGATGCAGCCTTCTGCCTGATGCTACAGTCCTGGATGGCTTTGAGCCAAAAACCCATCACCTGGTTTCTATAAGCTAAGCTCATCCTCTGATAGGGCCAGGGAGATGCTCTGATCTCTACATGATCTAATGCAGGTCCTCTTACCTGTAGTCCCTGTATACATAGGCAGGTGGTTCTTTCCAGCACTCTTGCCCCTCAGGATCCAAGAGACAATTATCAGCATGGACAGGATGACTAAGATCCATGCGACCTTCCTGTTGCCCTGAAAAGTTACAAAAATGAATATGGGAGTTTTCAGTTTCAAGAAAGAATAAGTCAGAGAAAAAGGGGCACAGTGAGAGTAAACAGAAGACAGTCTCCTGAGAGCACATGGCTGGAACTGAGGAGACTCTCCAGGAGACAGGGACTAACAGGATGAAAGATTCTTTACCATCTACTGCCGTGCGACACACAAGGTGTGTGAACGAAAAATGGAGTTTCTTTCCAGGGGTAAAATAGGACTCTATGATTTTCCGAGATTTCTCACTAGCCTGCAGAAGCAATTTCGCGTCTCTCCAGTCCACGTCCCCATTTTGGGCCAGCTACAAGTGAATAACAAGTCTGTTAGAATACTTACAAAGACACTCTAAGAATGATACACGTACACAGTACAGAAGAAGAGGCCCCTGTAAAGCCCTGTGGTCACTCAGGTAAGAAAAGAACACGTTTTCTCATTTAAAGATAAGCCAGGAGTAGAGCTATACACCACAGCAGTTTTTTCCTTTGCCACATGAAGCCACATCTGGAATGCATCATCATTTTGGGTCTCCCACTACATACGGGATACAAGTAGACTGGAATGAGTCTTCAGTGAAGTGTCTTTAGATGACAGGAGTGTTAGAGCACATGACTTAGAGAAAGAGGCTGAAAGATCTGGGATTCTTCAGCCCAGAGAAGGCCAAAGGAAGATCTAACTACACTCTCTTGTCACATAACAGAGAAGATGGAGACAGACTCTTCTCAGAGACACACACTGAGAAGACAAGAGGCAACAGACAAAAGCTGCAGCAAGGGAAATTTGGGCTGGATATAAAGAAAAATTTCATCCTCACAAGAGTGGTACAGCACCAAAAAAGGTGCCCAGAGAGGCTAAGGAATCTCCACCCTTGGAAATGTTCTGGACTTGCCTATGCAAAGTCTTGAGAGATCTCATCTAGCTTTGGAATTAGACATGCTGCAAGCAGGGGGTCAGATTACAGACCTCCAGAGGCTCCTTCTACATTAATTTATTCTCCAATTCTAAGGTAAGCATGTCTGTAAGTTTACCACACAGGGACAAGTAGCATTCCTGAAACCATGCCTCACAGGAGAGAAAGCACATGTACAACATGCCTAAAGGTGATCATGGAGGAATCAGGTCAGAGGAGACCTCGTGTTGTGAGGGAGAAAATACACCCATGACACCATACAGAGTGCAATTCACAGAGGAAAATGCTCAGGTGGCGAACACTCCTTTTGGACAATCAGGAAGGTGGCAGACTCACAGAGCCACTTTACCTGCATGGCCTTCAAAACAGTTAACCCTTCAAATCTCTCATGTGGGGTGTGAGGTGACCGTCTTGCCCGGTAGCCATCTCCTGCTTCTCCTGCTGCCTGGAATAGAAGGATAGAGATGACATGCATTAGGCTGCCATCTCTCCTCCACGGAAATCCTACCACCCTGCCTGCTAAGGAGGATGCATACAGGACCTCTTACAGGACTCTGGCCTCACCTTTGTCAGTCGGAGAAGGTCCTTACACTCAGACTCCGTCAGCACTCTGTCAAACACAACCCTCTGGGTTCCATTCATCTGGTGGGAATCCATCGTGACAGCGATACCCTCAAAAGGCAAAGGGCCTGTTGAGAAGCAAGTACAGATAGGCATGAGCAAGCTTTGGACAAGGAGCCCTCAGCCTGGATAAGGATGTGGAGAGGCACTATACATTCTCTGAGAAGACAGGACAGTTCCCTAGAAGTGCCCATTCCTCGCAGACCCGGGCCACTTGCACCCCTTGCATGCTTCAGGGGAACCAGAGCATCAGCGGGGAAGCTGGGCTACAGCGCATGCTCAGGAGCCAGCAGAAACCTGGGGCTTGCTGGGAGAGCAGCAGGGAGGTGGGGAAAGTTGAGTGCACTGTGGATCGCAGCAGCAGAACAGGTCCAGCCTACTGGAGTGAGACTCTGGAGAAAAGAAACAGGTAAACACCTCCATCAACCCTCCTTTTGATCACATATCTTACTCCAGAATACTCTCCAGTGAATCTTTCTTCAGCCTCAAAGAGAAGCAACGGGTATTAGTTGGTGATTTGGTCTTTGATATTTGGCCTTTTTTTCTACCCCCTCTGACCTCTGGATGGTCAGGAATGGCAAGGTACTCAGGCCCTCAGAAGGATCTGCTCTCACATGTGCCACAGCAGAGAACCACTTGGGGTCACTTAAAGCAAAGACTCCAGGACAGAGGCCTGCAAGAGGCTGTGTGTCCACACATAAGAATAGGGGACCAGCAAGAACACAAGACTCTGCACTGCAGTCTATATCATTCAGCCACAAACCATTTAGAATTCTGTTTTTCAGGGAAAGACTTGCCCAAGCTGAATCGTCTGTTTCCAGTTTCCATTTCCCGGCCCCTCCCTCCTTGTCCCCTTCAGAAAAATGTTGTTTGAAGTTGCGCTGGTGGAGTTGAACCAGGTTTGGTGTAGACACTCCTGCCACCCTGAACAGGGATCTGCACGTCCACAGGCTTGTCACGTATTCAGGCTGCTCTCAGCATCTCCAGCCACAGTGCTCTTTGAGTTCCCATCCCAGAGATGTACGCAGTGAGATTTTGCAAGATTACACATGCATCAAAGAGGGAGAAAAGAAACAGTGAGAAGACTTGCTGAGCCATTCAAGTCAGTCTGCATCTATGCTAGCATTCAAATGTCTGAGGATGGAAGAAAAGACAGCACTTAGTCTGACCAAGCCTGGCTGACTGCATCCAAGGCCTTCTTCAAGCTCTTTTACTCACCCCTCTTCTCCCTCTCTTCCATATCCAGAGTTTCCTCTTTTTGCTTCTCCTGATCCTCTCTCGGGAGCAAGGGAAAAAACAGAGACCAGGGCTGTCAGTACACAGAGCTATGCCTAACCCTCCTCTGTGGTAGCATTTCACACCCTTCTTGTTCCTGTTCTGCTCATTTCTCTAGGTACTACTGTTCCTTGGACCATCCCCTAAACTTGTATTTCAGTCCTAGTCAACTTGTCCAATCTTACCTGTATTTCTCCTTTAGGTTTTCAGGAATAAGCTCATCTGGAGTCCAAAGATCCTGTAGGAACACATGGAGGTGGTTCAGTACACAACAAACTTCTCACACAGTGGATCATGTCAAACAGCCAGTCCCTTGACCTACTTCTCCAGTGAATACCAGACCAACAGTTCTGGACCACTTCTCAGGACAGACAGATTGAGCCAATGCATATGGTTACAGCAGCAATTTCAAATTAACTTCAGTCCTGGAGCAATGGAAAGGCCTTAAAGACCCACCTCATAAGGACTTTGGGGTCCTTCTCCTCAGCATCTGATCCTTTCTGGATCATTTCCTACTCAAGTGAATTCTGGCAACTGTCTTGGTGAAATCAGGGCAGGAAGATTAAGAGGATACTGTTACTTACAGGGTCATTAAAAGTTTCTCCTAGATGTTCCACTGAATAATAAATCAACTTCTTCTCCATCAAAGATCTCTGCACATAGTGTTGAATATTCTAAGGAAGAAAAGAGACTGTCAAACAACCAGCCTACTAAAGAAAACACCATCCCTGCCCAGGCCGAAACTTGCCCAAACACACTGCTGTGCACTATTAAAGCGCAGTTTTGTCCTGAAGGGACGCTGACTGTGACAGACTATAAGTAAACTCAGGCTCCAGTTTCTTCAGTCCTGGGGTTGGCACACATCTGCAGTGAAACACGTTTCCCTTTTCGCCTCCTGGACTGCAATCCTATGGTACGGGACCAGGAGAGGGTCAAGAAGTACAGACCTGGAGTTGTAACTACCTGTCTGGCTGTAACAGCTGTGTCCTCTCCCAGTTCTGTGCGATATTGTTTCATTTTCTCCAACATGGGCTCATCCGTGGGATAGAAGAGCAAGTAGGAAGCAGCACATTCAGCAGCTAGCGTCTGGTTCCCAACTTGGGCAGGGGCAGAAGAGAACAAACATATATGTCTCTGAAACACTTGACTTGAGCAGCAAATGTGTATAGGCCAGCAGCACTCAATGTCTCAGTCAGGATCTGGCAGCTGGCCTTATACCAAGTACACATCAATCCCTGCCTAGCTGGGCCTCTGCCCAACGATGGGCAGAGAATACAGAAAATGAACCTTTAATACTTATTGTGAGCTTGTTCACAAGAGACAGAGAAAAAACAGTAAATATTTGAAAGAGAGATGGTCCCACCTCCATCATGCAACAGACACGATGAGGGGTCTGAGGCTTCTTTGGTCTGACAGAGCAGATAAGAGACAGTTGGGTCAGTGTGGGAAGGAGCAGGGGTATGCAAGAGAAGGGCTGAGGGATGTGTGCAAGTGACACAGTGACAGGATGGCCAGTGTCATGACAGGCCATCAGTTCAGCAAGGGCAGGTAGGGCTGGCTCAGAAGAAACATGACTGCTGACATGAGATGCACGTGTAGGCCCTAGATAGGAAGTGGGGGCCTGATCTGGAGCCATGTACTGAAAAGGAAGGTATAAAACCACACAAAATAGTTGGAGAAAGGACTTGAAAAGGAGTGTGTTGAAGGAAAGACATGGGAACAGCCCCATATTACAGAAGCTGCGCAAGGAGACTGAAACAGACCAAAAAGGACCTCTCCCAAGGTGGCCACAGGCTCGAGCAAGAGAAGAGAGATTTTGGGAAGAGTCAGTGGGCAGACAGGACTAGATCTCAGGTCAGCGTGCCACTTTTTCCCATGACATGCTGCCCTCCAGGACCAGAGACAAAGGGGAAGTGTAGGAGTGCCACAGCATAACCTGCTGGGTTGTGGCTCTGCTCACCTTGATTGTAGGCAAACTGTAGTAAATCAAGATGAGAGGGTATGAAGTCTTCCGTGGCAGAAATCCGCCCCGGCTTTGTGGCAATTTCAAGGACACACTGCTGCCTGCACTTCAAAACCTGAATATAATGGGCTGTAAGAGAGAGGAACAAGAAAGGCAGTAGCCCACACTTCTTCCAGAGGGGAGTGCTGGGAGATGGGACATGTCCAGCGTGCGGAGCACAGCTTTCCTACCCAATCCTCTGTGCTTTTAACACTACCTGCAATGGCTTCATACAGCCCAGGTTGCATGTCCTTCTCCTCGTCCTCATCCTCCCAAGGCCCTTCACACAGGGCACGACAGTCCTCCAGTGCTGACAGGGCCTCTGTGAGTGACTCCTCCAGCTTGGCCATGGCCAGCACGTACTCATCTGCATCGTAGTGCTGCACACCAGCCTCATATGCTTCCTGTGAAGGACAGATCCAGGTCCCTCCATCAGTGTGTGTGACACCAAAGGATGCCATGAGACTTCTGAGTCACTCACAGGATGGTGCTGAAACATGGGGGCCTGCCTGGTCATACACAGCCCACCACACAGTGACAGCAAATCTTACGGACTTAAGCCAAATAACTGTCACCAAAAAGTCTCCGTGTCACACTTGCAGTGGTTTGTCTTCACCTTGAAGAGAAGGCTCCAGGGAGACCTTCTTGCATTCTTTCAGACATAAAGGGGTTTGAGCAAGTCTTTTGACTAAGGCCTGCAGTGACAGCACAAGGGGCTACAGTTTTAAACTGAAAGAGGGTTTTGATTGGAGATAAGCTACTTGTTGGATGGGAGATAAAATACTTGTTATGAGGACTGTAGTGAGACACTGGAGCAGGTTGCCCTGAGAACCTGTGGATGCTCTATCCCGGGAAGTGTTCAAGGGCAGGTTGGATGGGGCTTTGAGCAACCTGGTCTAGTGGAAGGTTACCCTGCCCATGGCAGGGGGTTTGGACTAGGTGATCTTTATGATTCTATGTATGGGGGCCCTGTATGAAGCCATGGCCTTTGTGTGGGAACAGATCAGAGTCCCAGACCGGTCCCTAGGATGGAATAAGAGCTGCTAATGTCTGGCTCTGCACTGAGCCCTCACCCAGTGTGGCATGGCCTCCAGGTCCCGGAAGCTGTTTGACTTCACCCCTGACATACGCTGGTACTTCTCGATGTCCTCCCGCATTTGGAGATGCTGGGGATTAGCGACGAAGAAGGTGTGAGCGGCAGACACGGCCTGATCCAGCTTCTTCAGCTGTGGAGAAAAGGCAACAGCGTCTGTCATACTCCTGTGGGCCCCTGATGTTCACACCCTCCCCTCACCCCAGCTGCTCCCTGGGTTCACAGAATGGGTCAGGTTGCCCACAGCTACCACAGGGAGCACAGCAGGTCATCTGGTCCCACCTCCCTGTTTAAGCAGAGTTGTTCTACAGCACGTGGAACAGGATTGCATCTGGAATATCTCCAGTGAGGGAGACTCCACAACCTTTCTGGGCAATCTGTTCCAGTGTGTCACCCCTCACAGTAAAGAAGTTCTTCCTCATGTTCAGGTGGAACTTCCTGAGCATCAGTTTCTGCCTGTTGTCTCTCATCCTGTTGCTTGACACCACTGAGAATAGCCTGGTTCCATCCTCTTAGCATCCCCTGTTTACGTATTTATACACATTCAGAGAATCACAGAATCAACCAGGTTGGAAAAGACCTCTGAGATCATCAAGTCCAACCTTTGACCTAACACCACCTTGTCTACTAGACCATGGCACTAAGTGCTACATCTAGTCTCTTAAATACCTCCAGGGCCGGTGACTCCACCACCTCCCTGGGCAGCCCACTCCAATGCATTGATAAGGTCCCCTCTCAGTCGTCTCTTCTCGAGGCTGAGGGCGAAGAGTTCACCCTTGCCCACCACCCCCTCAGGCCCCCTGCCCCGGCTCACAGCAGCCCCCGGGGGTGGCGACTCCCTTCCCCCTGGCCCGGTGCCCACCTGGAAGAAGGCCACCTGGAGGTAGTTGTAGGGCTCCCTGCGCTCGAAGTCGCGGCGCACGGCGCGGCTGGCGCGGTGGGCGGAGGGCGCGGGGAGCAGCCGCCGCCCCAGGCAGCGCTGCAGGCAGCCGGCTCGCTGCAGCACCGGGCCGAGCAGCGCGGCCTCCCAGCGCCCCGGCCCGGCGGGGAAGGGCTCCTCCCGGGCGCAGGCGGCGCGGCAGGCGCGGCGGGCCGCCCGCAGCCCCGCGTAGCTGTGCAGGGCGCGCTGCAGCAGCTCGGCCGCCCGCGCCCAGTCCCGCGCCAGGTAGGCGCGCACCCCGTCCGCGTACAGCAGGTCGTACGGCACCAGCCGGCCCGGCGACGTGGCGGCCGCGGCGGCGAGGAGGCTGAGGCAGAGGAGCGAGGCCATGGCTGAAGCAGTAGGAGGAGAGGGGGTCCGAGGCGGGCGGGCGTCCCGGCGAGCCCCGCGCTCGGCCCACCCGGGGGCGGTGCCGGGCCAGGGCCACGGTGGGCGGGCAGCCTCGCTGAGACGACGCCGCTTCGGGGGCGCCCGGTCGTGATGCCTCTCTGCCTGACGTGGCCCTTGGTTCAGGCAGCCAACCCAGCCCGAACCCTCCCTTTGGTGTGGCTCTCCCAAACCCCTCCAACGAGGCGTCTCATAAGAGGTTAAGGGTAATCTATCAGGAGTCACACTTGGATAGTTCATAGACTAAGTCCCATCACATGGAAAACCGCTTTAGAGGTGAAGGGCTACTTATCTCCCACAGCTCCTCTGACACTGCCAAATCTTTGCCCATGGCTGGAACTACAGCCAGCACTGGGCAGGAGGTCCATCTCCCACACAGCCAAACCTATGCCTGTGCTTGGAACTACAGCCAGAATCAGGCAGGAGAAGGTCCATCTCCCATATGCTACCCCTGCACTGCCCTCCCAAGAGTTTTGCGTGGGGCAGGAGCCTGTTCCAGATCTCACCGCTCCCAGCTTTGATGACATGGGCAGCTGGGGGACTTCCCCCAGAAGGCTCTGGCAGCTTTCCTGTTTGGGTGAGAAGTTTGGGTCATCTGACGTTTCATGCACAGTTCACACTGGAATCAACAGTTTGCATTGGTGAAATGAGATGTTATGGGTCAGGGACTTTTTAGAGAGAATTTTTTTCAAGCCTGGCATTTCCTCGAAGCAAAACCTTTTGCTTGAGCAATGTTTGAAACCCCAGAGGCCACTCCTGCTTAGCACTATATCCCCTGAAATGAACAAGAAGACTTTTCACCCAGTCTCCCATGACAGTTCCTCTGTGGGCATCATTCCCTTTCCTGAGCTGTGAAGCATCTGCTACCTTTCAGATGCACCGACAAGAAAGGATAAAGAGGGAGGAAAGGAGCCTCGCACGTTCTGCATTTCCCTTCCAGAAGCCTGTGAAGATTCATTAAACATTGGGCCAGTCATTTTGTTTCTATGGAAACAAAATTATTACTAATATAGTATTTTAAAAACAGACACACAATTGACACTCCAAATATAGAATTTTAATACCATTCTGCACCTGCCTTTTCTCTTAGGGCAGAGCGGATGCGAGGGTGGAGTTCACAAAGGGACGGGACTGGCGAGGATGCCAAGTGGCGGTGGCAGCAGTGGATGTGTTTGTAACCTGAGAGCAGGCACAGGCTGGCTGTCCCTCCGTTGTGCTCCCTTCCGCGGATCTGTCCCACTTCATTTTTACCCCAACAGAGTGGGGTGCTGTGTTTCCTGCCTGCTGGCGAGAAAGATGAGAATGCAAATTAGTGATTGGGTCCCGGAACAAAGGGAACACTTGCAGTTTTATTTAAAAATCATGATGGCACTGAATGTTTTTGATGCTGTCTCTCATAGTTTGGGATCCTGGAAGGTCTGTGGCTCGCAGGCCTCAAGGGTCCTTTCACATGGCGCCTGCTCTCCGTTCTGCAGATGCCAGACTTCGTTGCCAACCACGGAGCAGCGCCGTGGCCGGTCGGCATTCTCCTCCTCTCTGCTGCCGAGGGAGAGGCGGCGATCGCGGCGTGATGCGAGCAGGAGACGGGAGTGCCGTGGGCTGCAGGCTGGGGTGGGTTGCGGCGTCTCGTCGATGAACGTGGTGATCTCATCTCGGAAGAAGCAGGCGCTGGAGCTGGAGCCCCGGGGCAGTAGCCCCCCCTCCAAAAATTGCCGTAGGGTTGTCAGCTCATCTTCTGGGGGCCGCCGGCGGTGCTGGTAGTCATGCAGCTGAGGAGGCAAGAATCCAGGGGCCCCAGGCTTGCGGGGGGTAGCAATGCGGATGTCGTCAGACGAAGACCACTTGTGTAGGAAGGATGGAGCAGAGCGGTGGGCGGAGAAGATGTTAGTCTCATCATGTGACATTCTCCGTGAAATAGGGACCTGGAAAACAGAGAAGGAGGAAGGTGATGGAAGACTTGAAGAGTCAGAACAGGAAGGGAGTAGCTGAGGCTTTCTCAGAGAAGAGAGTCAAGAGGGCATAAAGGCGTGGGAGACTGACAGAGAAGGAAGGAAGTGGGTTGTGGGGCTGCCCCTGCTAGCTCTCAGCTCACCTGCAGGTAGTGCACCTTGTCTTGGGGCAACAACATGTGGTGCATGGGCAGCAGCTTGATGTCCCGGGAGTCCCGCTTCACAGCTGCAGCGCCGTTCGCATCAAATCTCACTTTGCAGATCCTGCCATCACCATAATCATCACACACACCATCTGTTGGCAAGGAGGAGAATGGCAGTCAACACTTTTCAGTCAGAATTCTGAGTAGCATTATCAGGGCACCTGGACGCCATCCCAATGCTTGTCTGACTTGCTGCCCTACTTGCAGCCCTCAGGGCTCACCTCTGAACAAGGACCTCGTCTTTCTGCCTGCAGTGCACTAAAGCACCCACAGATTGCCCTATTTCTTCTGTCTTGCCTTTGAATTGCTCACTGCCAAAGATCTTGGACCTTTGGATCAGCAAGTTGGGCTGAGGCCCAGCATGCCACGTTGGTTGTGGTCTGGCAGCCACACACAATGCCTCTACACTTGCAACTACTGAGAAGGATGTTGCACTAATTCTTCCTGGATGCTAGTCCTAAAGCAGCAAGTGGCAGAGCCTTCTCCAGAATAAATTTTCTCATGGTTGCTGACTCCGAGCTGTAACATGCATCTCACTTAGCCACCTGCAACACCATCGAATCCCTTTCCCAAGGCAGACCCCCTCTTTCCTCTGCAGTCTTTTGGGGAGGTGGTTAGTGAAGAAAGGTAACTGTGGGTTCGTGAGGAGCTTACCATCATCTGCGTCTTCCTCAGACATGATAGCCACACACTGCTCCCACACGGTGCGGAGATCTGCTCGGTAGCGCTCGCAGGACCAGATGAAAGACGGGAGCAGCAAGGTCTGCACCATGGAACACCAGAGCACAGCCAGGACCATCCAGGTGGGGGCCGTATCATAGCGCAGGCTAAAAAAGCTCACAACCTTTGAGGTAAGGAAAAGAAACAATGCCAAGAAAGGAGACAGAAGTGGGGATCAAAGGAGAAAGGTAAGAATGAACTCTGTAGTGGAACGTAATCTGTCTGTAAAGGATTCATCAAGTAATTACCCTGTGTCCCCTTGAAAAACTGCTCTTGGGGTCTTGCCCCAGGTTTGCTGCACCATATTCAAGCTGTCATATCTCTTAACGTGAGACCTGGTGCTAGCATCCCTTCTTCCCCATGCTCATAATGAGCTGGAGCTAAATGCATGCTAACAAAGGACGCAGCCACTGGGGAAAAAAAAGCTGTGACTAAGCCCCTCTGTTCTCTTAATGATTGCCTTTGAGAACTTCTACAGTTTTGCAGAGAATCAACCGTTCAGCCAAAACCTGAATGCTGCCTACAACTATACATGCAGAAGGAAAAAGAAAACTGGATGCAACAGCTTTTAAAGCTGGTATATCAGTTCTCCAGAAGCAAACTGGAGAAATAAAAATCTCATTGTTTTTACAAGTAAATTGTAAAAATATTGGCAGAATAATCTCCTCTCTTCTTAGCCACTTAAAACTTTCACACTTAAGAAAATGCTGCTGCAGAAGGATGACAGAATTACTGCAATCTTTTTAAAACCGCTGCTCAGAATAACACAGATTCAGATGCGGCAGTTCTGCAGCTGGTGGGACAGGAGAGTTTCTTTTCTAAAACTTGAGAGAAAACGAATCTGGTTTAACTGCGGACTCTGAAGGGAAAGGGAGAACTTGCTGCTTACCAAGATAGGCACCCCAGTGAGTGTGTCATACAGGAAGACAATAGCACTTATGAGGTTGGTCATCTGCAAGGAGGTTTTGGCTGACTCAGAGCCATCCAGTGAAGACCTCCTTTTGCCTCGTACATCCTCCACCACAATGGCTGGCACATTGAAAGTGGTGTGTGCTGATGAAGAGCAGGATGATGCTTCCTCTGCTCTCTGATGATGGCACCGCCGGCGTCTTCTGTGTGCCCACAGGGTTTGGTAGAAAGTGATACCCACACACACCAAGCCCATGACGATTCCTCCGAGCAGCAGGAGGCTAAAGCAGACACCGAAGCCTAGCCCTATTTTGCTGACAATGAACTGGCAGCCCCGGGCATAGTAGCGCTCGCCGTTGTTGTGCCAGCCGATGGAGGGCAGGGTGGAGAGGATGAATGACACCATCCAGATGCCCATGACTGCGTGCAGAGCCTGCTTCTTGGCATTGCTCAGGCGGTAGTTGACTGGCCATCGCACCATCCACATCCGGTGGTAGGACAGGGAGGCCACTGTGAAGCAGGTGGCCAGTGCCAGGGTGTAGTATGTGGAGACGAAGACCTTGCAGATGCTTTCGTTCCAGTCATAGTCAGAGGACTCGCGCCGCAGCTGCACCACGGCATAGGTGGTGAGGGGTACTGCTGCCATAAGGATGTGGGTGCCAGCAAGGAAGCATAGCAGCAGCTCCAGAGGCTTGTGTTTCTGCTGTTTGGCTGTGATGCTGAGGATGATCCAAGAGTTGGCCAACAGAGCTAGCATGCCACATGCCAGCCACCACAGTGAGTTGTTGTGCAAGGTGGACTCTGAATCAGAGTCCCCCATGCTGTCACCCCTGCTAGACTGTACCCTGTCCCTGTCGCTGGGGTTTTGTAAGAGGGTGAGCGGGACTCTGCACTGGCAGAGCCACGTCCCTCCTCATCTGCTGCTGCAATGCAAGTTGTTTGCACGCTGGAGGGGTTCCTCAAGGCATTGCCACCGGGTGCCAGGCAGAACAGCCGTCAACTCTGTCTTGCTTTCAATCCTCCCTTTCCCTTCTGTTTGATTATATTTCTTTCCCTTGTTCTAACTTTTTCATCTGTTTTTTCCCTAGTTCTCTGTCTTTTTCCTTCTTCCACTTTCTTTCTCTCTCATGAATACTTGCCAGTGCTTCTTCCCTCACTTGCTTGGGCACACTTTTTTTTTTCTTCCCCATCTATTTCATCTCCCTCCTCCGCTCTTACCCCAAAGAAAAAACTCTC